TAGCCAAAGTTAAACATTCCAACTTTGACTAATGTGTTCAGAGCACACACTTCTTATTCACATTTACTGTAGCCAACTGTTTGCTTGGACTTAATTAAGGGCCGTTTTGTTTGGAAAGACATGACAACAGCAGCAGCCGACCAATGGGCTAATGCGAAACTAATTCTCCTTAAATATTATTCTCATATCCTTCCCAAGTAACTCATCACTCGTGCAGCTAGTGAGGGCAAACAATGTGAGCAGAATATTCCCACACTGCTTTGAGAGACGTGAAATCCATGGCCATTAGGACCGGACCACTGCAGCAACATCATCTGCAAGTCTAATGATGTTGGCAGTTCATGCCGTTGCAGTATTTAATGAATTTAAATAACCCAATTTAAACAATGACATGCGTGTGCGGGGAGATTGATGTGCCTGTCAGTTAAGGAAGGTTTGTCTGATGATGTGGGATCACATCTCACTGTAGTTCCCATAATGCACTGCTGGAAATGGGGGGAGGGGGCTGTTAGGCGAGGTTTGGCCGTTACTCATCTCACATAAAAATGCCACGAATGCTGAAGCTTACACATACATTGCACACCTACTGATAAAGAAAATTGCTAAGATAATCACTTGAGGTTAATTAGTGCAAAACCTAGTCTGACATTTGGAAATAATCCTGTCAGATATCTTGATTGTTTGCATGGCTTGCGAAGATTTTTGGTCATTTTATTAATTCTACACTTGTCTAAGTAGAATTTTTTTTAAGACATGTTTAGTCTTATTGATGATTCATCAGTGCAGGTAATTCATGTTGACTTAAGACGCTCTTTCAGTAGCAATCTATAATAGGCTTCAATGTTTATTTTATAAATATACTTATTGCTTACTAAAATTTCATGCTCATTCCTAATACATTAATTTTAATGTATACAACATTAACCAAAATTAATAAATACATTTATTAATACCTTGTTGTACAGTGTTGTTGCTATTTCTATCTGATCTGGCCATTACAAATGACCTTCATTGGTGTAACCTAATGCAGTCATGTTGATTCATTCATATTTTCGACTGGTATAAAACCAGTTAGTTTAGATTTTACAACAAGTTACCTAATATGTATTTTTACACTGTAGACATTGGTCAAACATACTTAAACTCAGAATGTAATGTATTCATAAATAAACTCTTTTATTAAATAAAATATTTTATTGATACCTTGATGTACAGTGTTACTGCTATTTCTGGGCATTAAAAATGGCATTCATTGGTGTCATGTTGAATCATTTATATTACTTTTTTTTTTTTTTTTTACTTCAAACTGTTTATATTTACCACATTTTTTTTACAGTGTGATGTATATCGACATACTTATAAATTACTTTTTTTTTTATATTGTGTTAGTAATATTAAAATTCTATTTTTTCCTGTTTTCAGATTATAAATATTCATACAAAGACATGTTCTAAACTGCAGCTAATGCCATATTCCTCGAAGCTAAGTTATATCAGTGTTTTTAATACTCTCCATTGTCATGTATTGTTTATATCTTGTATTTGGATAATTTCATACTTATTTTCCTGTCTATTGTGTTTGGGCTTTCTTTTTTTCTAAATAAAATGATTGACTTTCCTAATACTCGCTCTCATGTTGAGCGTCTGTTTCCACTTAGTTTGATGAGCTCAGGTTTGGCACAAACACTAAATTGTTCTGATTTAACGCACGTCAGTTGCAGGAAAAAAATAAAACTTCAGACATCCCTGAAAGCAATCACTTTAATTAAAGCTCGCACCACAGCGGTGTATGTGTACAATAATGTGCTGATATGTTTGGAATGGGTTCTGTTCACTCTGATATTGTTTCTTGTCTTGCATATAGAAAACTGACTGGCATTTCTCTGTTTCTGTTTTTTAAATTTTTTATTAGGGCTCTCTAGAATGTAGACAGCGAAGCTCAAGACACTAATTTTTCTTGTTCTTTCTCTGAGGCCTTGAAATTGGTCTTTGAGAAAATAGACCTCATCTTTGAAGGGGAATTGAATTGCAGGGCCTTGGACTTTTTGCCTTTCCTTTCATTTAGTTGGTGTTCCCGGGGATATTAAGGTTGTCCTCAAGCAGACTTCTAAGAATCATTCCGTTTCAGAAATGGTCCATAAAAGCTTTGATTCACTCTGATCATCTAGGCAGCCACTTCATAGCTGTGTCCTGATTGTGCTTTCAGATTGAATCAAGGGAAAATACAAAGATGAACCAGTATCATCAGAGCTCGAGACTGTGGTGCAGACCTCCAGTTTTTCATCATCGCAGATTCTAGCAACACCACAAGCCAGAAAGATTGAGTACATGGGAAAATCTGTGGGAAAAGAATCATATTCCCACTTTCAAGTTAGGATATCTTTCAAATTCCTCCAATGTCGTACCAGAGAAGGATCTTGATTAATCCCTGCTATGCTCTCAGGGAAGGTTATTAATTGAGTGGTTTGATGAATGAACACTTGCCTCTGAATTATGGGTATTCTGCAGCAGTAGAGAGCTTGCAGATTTACGGCGCTCTCCCTGGTGATGAGGGGTTTAACTTCTCAGTCTGAAACACTAAAACCAGAGGAGGTTTTGGTAGAGAGTTGTTGTCTATCCTCACTTTAATGTGTTTGTCAGAAGACCGCTGGGTAACGATTCAGAAAGAAAGCTAATTTCCATCTAAATCTGAGGCTGAAGTCTTATTGGCTGTTCAACGCACCATCACCAGTTTTGCCCCTGACATTTTTCAAGTCTTGGAAATGAATGAATGAATGGATTAATGGATTGTTTTAAAGTTTTAAGGCCTTCATGAATAATGCAATGACCTCGATATGTTCTAAAGAAGCTTCAGAATTTCTTGTAGGAACACGTGGACATTTTGTTTTTAGACATTTCTTTTCTGTCTGACCTAAATTTAGTTGCTAAACTTGAGTGCCTTGTAACTGAGGCCGTGATGAATTAATAATCACGGCAAAGAACTTTGTCCTCAATCTTTAGAACTCAAAATAGTTGATTGATAGTGGAGTTAAACATATTGTACTTTTTGTGGTTGGCTAAACCACAAATAACCAAACCAGTCTGGAAAGTCTTGCACTTGTTTTTCAAGCTGTCAGATGTTTTAAGATGGTCCAAAATATGAAAATTCTGTAAAATCGGCATCTGCAGCAAACCGTAATCAGGTCATGGCAATAAGTCCTGTCCTCCTTCACTGCTCCTTTTCAGGAGACCTTCATGAATAATCAGAGGAAAAAACAGGCCACTGTTACTCTTTGAAGTTTTCCGTGCAACTAAAAATAATCCCATAATGCATTATAATGAAAAACTATTTGTTGGTTCCATCACTGCAGATGTAGTCAGAAAGCTTCAGCAGTACACAAACCAAAATGCAGCCGCCTTTGAAAAGAAACTGAGGACATTGTACTTGTGGTTATTTGCATTTTGATTGGCATGTAGGGTCAGGGTTAGCCATCAGATGATCACATATGAGTATATATATATATATATGTGTGTGTGTGCACATACATCCCACTGTTTTTTGCTAACTTGTACATTTTTGCTGTTTCAGTCCTATAAAAGCTGTTGAATAGCAAGTGTCCCATTGTGAAATATTAGTCAGTGCAGTGTAACAACATTTTAGAATGTTTAGGCTTTTAGAAACAGTTCCTCTTCATACGCTGGGACATTGATGTTTTCGTAAGGTGTGGTTACATGCGGCCCAAAAATTTACATTGTCCATTGTCAATAGTGTAGCGATGTCTGAAGCACAAACAAAGCGGCTTTCTGTTGGTCAATGCGGTTAATTAGCTTGAACAACTTGAACCCTGGAAATACAAATAAGAATTAAAAAAGGAAATTTGACAAAGAATGGTAACTGCACCACCTTTACTCTTTCATTCGAGTTGCAGGTGTGACATATTAAATCTATGAATCTTTATATCTATTTAGAAGTGGGTTTATTTATTTTTATTTTTTTATTAAAACAGGTCTGTACACCACCTTTCACATTTTACTAACAGATACTAAATGTCCTTAAATGAATACTTAACCAAAAAAATTCTTAAATGAATACTTCTCTTGGCTATTTGCACATCTGGTTAGATGCTAACTGCATTTCATTAGCATTGTACTTGCACTTCAGACACAATAAATTTGAATCTAATCTAATAAAACTAATCTAAAAGAAAAACTCTGTCATACCATCCTTCATGTTATTTCTGATATGTTTTTCTGTGGAACATTCTAGATTTCATTAAAATAATATTTACCCAGGACAGTTCATAGTGTCCACATCTGTGATCTATTGCGAATTGTTGATCTCGTGACATCCGAGATCGAAAATGATTTGCCGCCAAAAACCTCAAAGGAGATTATGATGAGTAAAAAGCCTACGTCTTAATTTTCATGTTGTTCTTCACACAAAACTATCACATGTCTACAGATTTAGAATATGAAGCAATTTGGACTACGTTAATGGTGTTTTACTGTTTGGAACTTGAATTTACATTTTCAGGTGAAGTAGCCTATTTCTTTAATTGCCACGTTACATTAAACTATAGATATGAGCAGCCAAATTAACTACTCTTTCCCTTAAAATCCATTTGTATCTTTATTTATTCAACTGATAGACCTAACATTTTAGACTATAACATGTTTAATTGACTACTGTGTTAGCTGCATAGCCTAAGTGCTTATATCATTAATTAATTTAAATGTTATTAAATTTAGCTTCACGTTTTTATTTATAGGCTATATTAATTTGAATATGCAATGGTTACTGCTCCGTTAAGCGCAATGTTTGTTAATGGCTTTTAATTAAATTTTGGTTATTATAAAGTTTGGTTATTATAAAGTACAATCGTTTCATTGCAGGAGCAGTAAAGAAACTCGCATCCAATGGTCATCTATCTACACGTGTCCCGTAAGGAAATATGCAAAGGAAAGTGTTCTCCTTTAACTGCAGAGGTCTCCCCATTCCCTCACACACCTTTACCAGCCTGTGGTTCCTTCCTACACAGAGCAAGAGGCGGAGGAGAGAACGGAGATCGTAGATACGCATCCTAGTTGAAGTCAATGAGAACTTCTCTTCGGAGGAAACGGCCGTTTTTGAAGGAGCCTCAGGACGTTTGGAGATGCTTTTGATGGTCTCAGCCGGTGATATCGCTCCGTTCATGGTCAGACCAAAACTGAGAGACCATTTCAATGACCCAATGTGCTCGTTTTGAGGAGCAGAGGAGACGTTTCTGTAGGATTCTCAGTCCGGAGACGTGATGTCTGCCAGCGCGCATGTCCTGCTCTTAGGTAAGTTTCCTCCTCGTGCTTGTGAGTGATGTTTTTGCAGCTCCTGTCAAATGTGATAAATTGTAGAGATTTAGTAGAGCTGTAGACTTTGTAGTAGTTGATATGGCTGGTGATATCGATTGTTTCTACTAATGTGACTTTTAGATCACAATAGCGATAAACGATCAGATTATGGCAAGCCGGATTTTCTTTAAAAGAACTGATATCTAATTTTATGGACTACTTATTTGAAGTATTCCAATATCTTTTTCTTTCCCTATAACTATTTTTTAGTATACATTCTTGTAGTGATTAGTATCTTTCTAATTAGTCTAGTTATTCATTAATTCAGTATTTTTTCTATCCTGGTAGCAAATGACATATTTTTGCCATTTAATGTCATGAAGATGTGAACTCTTTTCTTCCGATTCTATTCCAGTTGTTACTGGTATCTTTTTAAGTTTTACTAGCTGCATTTAATTGTTTACTTGTCATATCTCATGAACTAGTCAGAATATCTATTTTATAGTTCAAACTTATTATTAAAAAGTAATTAAATGTTAAAGTGGCGTGCCATAACCAGGCATATCTTTCTTTGTGTGCTGTATTATTCAGCATCCGTAGATATTATGCAATAATTTATTAATGCCTTCCTGTCCATGAATTAAGTTATGCTTTCATGTGTTGTCCGCAAGTGGTCTTAGATGTGTGTTTCTCAGCCTTTTCATAAACACTGCATTGCAATATTTTAATTTATACATGAATTTGAAGTTTAAAGTGAATTACTTTTACTTTTTTCTTCATTTCTCCATACTTCTGCAATTGAGATATTTTATGTTAGAATATGTAACAAAAAAACAATTTTTAAGGCCAAAAGCTATTTAAATGTCAAAAGTCTCGTACCGTGCCTGTCAACACCACTATGTTCAGTTACAGTAAAATAGGCCAGTGATTCAAACCACCATTGTGAACAAAGAATCATAAGTGATGTGAAATGCTGTTATCATGTCAGGGTATCTTACGTTTTCCTTTCTGTCCTTTGTAAAATGATTTGTCCTGCACACCTTAGCAAACACAGAGCAATCACATCATTTTATGAATGTCTAATACTATTGTGGCAACTGTTTAGAATAGTTTGTAGTGTTTGGATATTGAATCTTAAAGAAATGTGACTCACCAACCTTATATAGCACATTTTACCTGCTGGCTATTTTACTTGACATCATTCTAGATACAGTATAACTAGATTTGCATGTCCTTAAGGAAATGGCAGTTCTTAGTTGCATGTCAGCAAAATAATAATAGTAAAGTTTTAGGAAAGCTTAGGTTTTAGGCTTTGGTTCTTGTGGTAATGAAATGTGCACCAGCCCTAAACTTTGCTGTTGTCATGATGTTTATGTGTGTCTTATTTCCAGCTGCGTGAGAATCAATACATGAGCTTGAAGTTGTGTGTAAGGCATTTTACTGGTAATGTGATATATTTCAGAGTGAATCTGGATGATCAAATGAGAAAAAATATATTGGGTGAGACTCGATTTTATCCACTGGGTAGTGATTGTATTGTGCAAATTGCAGAGAGGTGTTTGGAGTAGAGTGGGTGAAAATTAAAATGGCTTGATGTCAAGATGATGAAAAGAAAATTTCAGAGGCAGAGCAAGTTGTTGTATTTTGATGAAAAATTGCAGTAACAAGCACTTTTTGATTTGAAATAACTTGCACCGATTAATCATTCGTAATAAGACTACAAATATGTAATTAAAGTAAGTAATGACAACCTGTGTGCATTCTTTCACTGAAGTGTTGTGACTAGACAATAAGCGGCACAGAGAGATGCGAGGCGCTTGAATCCTCAGACTCACGCGCATACAGGAGCAAACGCCACAGCAATTATCATGATGAGCGCTTTCATTAGTTGCATTAAAACAACTGTGCTAGACAAGCCGTGCAAACAACACAACATATCACAACACCATCATCATCCACACCATGCAGATACGCCAACACAACACAACTGTCTATCTAATTTTCATTGGTTTGGGCTTTCTTCTGGAAATAATTGATCATTGTCTAATAGTAAAGAACATCTTATTCCCTGTAACAGCAATTATCACTCCTGCAGTTGTAAATAGATGTCTTTTTGTTTGTGTGTTTGATTGTTTTCACTCCTCATTGTTGCTCTAGTACAACGGCAAGGTGATGCCAAACCAAAATCTATATTATATTATAGATTATATTATATTATATTATATTATTATTTTTAAAGTTTTTAAATGTTATTATTCAGTGTAAAGATTTGTGCAACAAAATGTTAGATACAGACAAATTATTATGCACAATATACTGATACCATGTCAATTATCTGCTGTTTTTAAAAAATAAATTCATAACGTCTGACGTTCTGCATGCTCATGTCTACTGTATCTATATTTAGATGACATTTGACACAAGAATATCTATTTTTCACACACACACACACACACACACACAAATCATTTGTAGCATTTGAATCGATTGGTTTTAGTGTTTTATTTTTAATTTATTCTGACAAAGTATTATAAAATATTAACATCAGCCTGTTATTCATTTTTATTATTGTCCATAAAATAATTATTCCCTTATCGGTATGAGCCAGAATTTTAATATGGGAGCAACCCTAATATCAACAAAAGCTTTTGCATTGCTTAACATCCACTTTTGTTGCAGCATCTCAAATAAAGAGTGCGTTATGAAGCAGATCTTAGATCAGTCTATTTTTAGACGGATCTCCGGGGCAGCAAAGTATCTGTCAAGTATAAAGATGACATGGGCATCTAGAACCAGAGGTCAGGAAGTGACATCCTGCTGTGTGCTGCCTTCCCTCTCTCTCTCTCACTCTCGCTCTCTCTCTCTGCCCTGTGAATGTTGCTGTCAAACAGACTTTAGTAACAAAAGCGGCATGTAGCGTTCTGAAATATTGAGTATCTCCTTACTTGACCTCAGTGTCTCTAACCCCACCCTTGATGAGACCACAACCCATTCACTGCCCATTCACCACCAGCATCTGCCTTTACTTAAACAAATGCAATGAGATAATGGGATCCTTTGCGTGCTGTAAAAGAAAAATGTTTCTCTGTGTCATAGTAAATGTTTTTCTCCCTAATATTTCATGACAAAATTACATGAATATTTAATAGTTTGTTTATAATTTATTAATTTATGCTTGCTAAATGGATGTCCCTGCATTACTTTTTTAGATACCATAAATAGTGTATAGTGGCTTCAGTAATGAAACCATTTGTACAAAGAAGCTCGATACACTTCCCACAGGATTATGATCCACATTAAAGCTCCACCAACAAAAAGCTGGGAGTGACTAGCCTGTGTGTGCGTGTTTTTGGATGGCTCTGGTAATTTAGTAACTTGAGTCAGAATCTGTAGTGTGTTTTTTTCAGCACCTAGCTCTAATCTAGCTCCTGATGAGCCTGGCTTCACATGGGCAGTGTCAGCTGTGTGTGTGTGTGTGTCCCCACGGGGCCCCAGCCCTGTCTTTAATTAGTAGAGCAGATCACAGCAGGGCCGGCCCTCACTGAGAGCCGTGTCATTCCGTTCAGAGAAATCACAGTGACATCCTTTCTCCCACCAGACACACAGCACCAGCCACTTACCTCCTCTGTACTCACACACACTGTTTAACATGCACAGACCCACACACATGCTGGTATCAATCACACAGCTGTACATGTGCACAACACATCCAGAAAACAGTCCGGCAGTGTTGCTGTATGTGTGAGAGTGTGATGGACTCTTTTGATGGGTGTCGTCAATGTGTGATATTGTACCTTGTCTTATTGACCGTATGACACCTTACCCTTGAAGAACAACATGAATCGAAGATAAAAATAACAAAGAGTACTCTCAAAATAAATAAATAAATAAATAAATAAATGAAAAGCACAACTTTTTTCAACATACATTTCTTATTAATTTTTCTTGAGCAGCAAATCAGCATATCAAATGATTTCTGAAGGATCATGTGACACTGAAGACTGGATTAATGATGCTGAACATTCAACTTTGCCATCACAGGAATAATTTGCATTTTAAAATATATTCAAATAGAAAATAGTTATTTTAAATTGTAGTATTTTCCCCCCCACAACATTACTGTTTTTATTGGATATTTAGTCAAATAAATGCAGTCTCTTTCTTTCTTTCTTTCTTTCTTTCAAATAAACAATTTCACAAAGAATTACAAAGAAATGAGAAGTGACTAATTGAATTTTAAGTAGAAAGACTAAATAGTATTTTCTTGTAAAACATACTCCAATAAATTGTCTTGTTGTTTACTATTTTTTTTATAGTGTGTATACACACACACACACACAAACTCTCTCTCTCACACACACACACACACACACACACACACACACACACAGAGGGGAAAAGGTGTTTCAAGTGACATTTTGCCTGGATAGATTTTTAGTGTAAAGTAAAGATATGTTTTGATTAGACTTGGTGAATTTTTGGTGAAACAATATTTTGTATCAATAGATTTTATAATTATTATTATTTATAACCTACATTTGTATATTTGTATATTTTGTATATTTTTTACATACTGTATGTATATTTGATAATTCTTTTTTGATAGAGAGAGAGAGAGAGAGAGAGAGAGATAGAGAGAGATAGATAGATAGATAGATAGATAGAGAGAGAGAGAGAGAGAGAGAGAGAGAGATAGATAGATAGATAGATAGATAGATAGATAGATAGATAGATAGATAGAGAGAGCGAGAGAGAGAGAAATAGTGCATATATTATCATAAGAGCACAGTGATCTTGTAAAGGATGTTTTACCACCCCTCTGCCTGTCCCTGTGCTTTTAGTGTATGTTGGTCATCATTGCTTTGAAGTGTCTCATGGCACAGGCCACTCTGACCTACAAATCTCACAGCACTCATGTTGACACGAGTGAAGAAAGTGGCTAGCAGATTGCGGAGGAGCGTTTTTAAGCTGGAATGATCTCCTTTACTCCTGGTTTT